TCTGATTTCGAGACAAAAACTTGGTTCACAACTTTGCGCTTATAATTAACTCTGAACAATATAGCGCTGCATTATTCGGTTTGCGATTTATATGAATGTCGTTACAGATGCGCTTACCTTTACGTTACTTATAGATAACGCATTTAGTTGATGGAGTGAACTAAAATTTAAAAAAAAAAATATCATTTTTGCGCGTGTCTATCTCTGGCCTTACTGCATCCGGACTAACGTAGTTGTCAGTATATATCAGCGCGTAAGAAAATATTTTTTTCGTTTCAACTTACGTTGTCATTTTTATTTACCTTGGACAGCCGTTAAATATGGATTAAATTATACATTGCTATCAATAGAGCAATTGTTTTCCGCCAACATACGGAGTGCTCGTTCGCGGTGAAGCCGTGCCTCGAAACGCTCGATCGAATAAAGCTTGATCTGAATTCAAGTGTACTCGGATAAATTAGTTCACGTGTACGGTTTGATTTTAATTGAAAAAGTCATCAAAAGTTCTATTTTCATAATGCATTCGGGTAGAGGACTATAGTGCCATGGAAGAGCTTATATTTAGAAGGATTTTCCACATAATTGCTTAAGGACGAGATTTCGTGCGACGATCGCGACAGTTCTGTTCTCGGTTTGAAGCAATTAGTGAAACTTGGCGTGTCCGAGCCGTTCTTAGAGTTTGCGCTTACAAGATACGAGCGGTTAAGACTCTACTAATGCGCTCCGAATTCCCGGAATAAAGCGTTAACGAGCTTTAGTTATTATATGTCGGTAATAATTATGTAAACATTTCTTTTTACTCGGCAAACGTATTACCTACGAACCGTATAATTGGAGTTTTCCAGGTGCGCGCAAAAGCCTCAAGTTACACCCGTTAATTAATTTTAATAGTGTTTTCGGCAACTGAACGAAGTCAATTAACGATGTCAATCAATGACACATCAAATTTCAGGCAATTAGGCTTCAGTTGGAACGCGCATAAAAGGTTTAGGTTTTTCTCTTTTCGTCAAAAGGCTATGTATGTCGTTTTAACCTAAATAATCGTTCGCTGTCAAGTACCTAGGGAAAGTGGTGCTCTTTGTCTAATGTTGATATATTCATTAATGTTCCCGAGTGTACCCCTTTCCTTTTGATCCCCAGGGATATTTCTTCGGGCGACACGTTCTGGATCCAACTCAACACAATCTTTAGTAAACTTGTTGAAATATAAACAGATAAACAGATTGTGAGACTCTCGATTATGAAGACAAGAATGTAAGGGTAAATACGGGAATAGATGAGCACAAAGCGTGTTCCTTCTCCGATGCATATTATAAAATGTTACAATACTGGTATCGTTTCAAACTATCTTCGGATCATAAGAATGGTTAAATTTTGTTACCTAGGTAAATAGGCCTAGGTTAGGTTAGGTTTTAAACTTCTGTAACTTTATTATATGTTAACTCATTTGATTATTAATTAATGCATTATTCAATTTTCTTACCGAGAATAAACACAATATTTCGACGCTACAACAACTGATTCAGGTCGATTTTTAGCCAAAGCTAAAGCCAGATGTCTTAATGACTAAAGACAACGGCACAAATCCCGACAAATAGAGTAAGTAAAATTGATTATATATAAATAAAATGTGTGTCGTACCTACCTGCAATCTACTAAAAGACCTCCGCCGAAGAGCGCTGATTTTCAATATAATGGAACAGGCAGAAAACGAATTATTATTTAATTTCGGAAAATTGATCGCAAATGTTCATACATAATTCAGGAGCAACAGGCGAGGGATTCTTAATTGAGTTTCAGAACTAGCTCCACTAAACGTGCGAGACGCCCCTTAAAGTCTTCGGGGAGTGTTTAGGACTATTTCTGACAGAATCTAGCGCATTCTAGATTAGTCAAATCAGTTTTGATATTTTTCTAAGCCGGCATATACGAATTCACGAAACGAAGTCAAAAGTAACTAATGGATGACTTCGATTATAGCGAGACGAAGACTCAACATTAGGATTTAGGAATGACTATACAAAATGCGCTGTCATACATCATCCTCTAAGCCTTTCCTCATAATGGAGTGCCATTAACAACCCGTGAACTGTGGAGGTGCATATACTATTAAATCTTGTATAATAAAAGTATATTTACTCTGTAAATGGCCGGGGACATGGCAGTTATCGACTTGGAAATTTATAAAACACTGCTAAAAAGTACAGTGAAGGGACTTGAAGGATGTGTTCCGTTTCCATTCATTTGCAAATCTGTCATTGAAAGTGAAAAATACTTTTTCTGAAGCAATTTAAATCATTATCGAGTGAAGACGGGCCTAACTCAATTTTGTGTTCCGCATCGACAAAGTTCAGAGTTTCGCTCCTCTGCTCCTTGAAAAACTCTCAACGTACAGACCTGCCTTTTATTTACATCGGACGTATACTTTTCGGCTCAATAACTCCTGTAAACGTAGTGTATTATATATTGTTATATAAGAACGCGTTACAGTACATAAAAGAAAAATATGTAATGTATTTAGCATAAAAAGGCAGGCGCAACGCTTATATCGGGCCGTAGCCTGTACCGCTAATGTGTTTGAAAACTTACAGCGGTGAAGTTCCGCTGATTTTCCAAGTTGGCGCTCTGCCACACGTACGACGCCCCAAATGAGATAATATCAGACTCCGACTGGTAGCATCCATCAGAAATAAAGCCTCGCGATCTTCAAACTTTACGATCTCATAAAGCTAATGAAAATACAGGTGACGGCAGTTATGGAGAAAGGGGGGAATCGGTTGCAGTCACCTAGCTTATCGGGTTTTCCTTCGATTATATTTAGATGTGTAAGGCATCTTACCCATTTGTGTCGTGTTCTCGAAGCGTCGTAACGTTTACATGAAGAGTTTAGCCATAGGCGTCTAACCGCATGTGTTTCGGGTTACTATATGTGCGTGTGTCCAGACAGATATAAAATGTCTTTCGCCAATGTCGAACCGATTCGGCGACATATTGGCACGCCAAAAAAGATGACTAATGTCCTCGGGATTATGGACGGGCACGCTTTCCGGGCCCTTCGAGTCAGAAGCGATCCGCACTTCAATTCACACTCAATATCTCTGTAATTCTATTGTTACACGCTTCTTAGGTTATCCTAATCTTTAAAACTTTTCAAAGAGACTGAATTTAAAGCGTTCTGCATTCCCATTCGAGACCGTCTTGAACCCGGAAAACGGTATTACGGCTGCATTCGTGATTTAATACGAGCCACATGCCTCGTTATTTCGAACATACGTGTAACGACACGTGAATGCTTGCTTGTTTTTTTTTTTTTTTTTTTTTTTATTTATTTAAACTTCCTCTTTCTATACGGTTAAATTCAGAATAGAAGGAAAAAAAGGATATTCTCTTCTTTATCTTTTTTAAAATGTTTAATCTTTCCACTTCTATTTGTTTTAAAAATCCAGACCAAACTTTTCATAATTTATGACTGGTGTTAGTGGAAAAAATATTTTCTGAGGAGATCGTGTGTGTGGAAATTAATTTTACTAAGTAATAAGAGTAATTTTTTGTGTATAATTTTATAGAGAAAAAGTAGGGGTTGCACGTCTATTTATTAAAGATATAAGTATGTTTGTAAGCCTATTTCATAGTCGTTAAAATAGTTACCCGTAAAGTAATCCAAAGCTTTAGGAACTTATGCTAATTTTTTCTATATTATTTGTGCATTGAAGGCGTCCCACCTTCGCACCTTAAATACTATATATTGAGGAAAACTTAATGTTATTTAGTTACACACAAATGCATCCCGCCATAACCGATAGTAGTAGTGACAGTGACAGTGAAAAATATCGAAAGAATATTAATTTCCTCTTTATATTGAAAAATAACCCTTTAGAAAGGGAATAAAAGCCGCCATAAGTCACTCGGATTAACGGCCTCACAATTTAGGCGAGATAATATCACGCAAAAATATTCCCTAAAAGATACATATTATGCCATTATCTCAATTTGTCAACGGCCGTAAAAATGTTGAGTCCCGCTGACGACTGCTGAAATTTATGTTCGTCAGAATTTATCAAGAAGTTGTATTTGTCACGGGATGCGTGTGGTTCTTCTTATCGGGATGATTCTCTCTCACCAGTAACAGTCTCATAAACTTATTACTATTACTTAAAATGTTCACACCAAAATTTAAACATTTTCCGCATAAAATAGAGTAGCGTAGGAGAGTTTTACGGAAAATCAAACGACACGGGCGATGGCGGATACAACATTTGCAAGTCACTGGTACCCGGACTTTAATCAAACAAGTGCATAGAAACTAATTAACTGACTTTTTTAATATTTCTAATTATATAACTAATACAATAATATAATATTACTAGCTGTGTCCGCGACTTCGTGGACGTTAGGGGGACGTGGTACTGTGGTACTTATTTTGGACATACTATTATTTATTTTTGCAAATAACCTCCTCAGCTTTATAAACTATAACTGATGAGTACGAGGAACCTTAAAGATGAGTAATTTTCGCCGTTTTCTCCACATTTCTCATTGCTTCTTAGTCGCAGGGGTAAGTTTTATAGCCTCCATAAATGATCTAACAAACAAAAATAATTTTTCAATTCGTCCATTTGTTCCCGAGTTTACCGCGTTCAAACTAAAAAACAAACTCTTCAGCTTTATAATATTAGCTCTACAGTACAGTATAGATGTATAGGAGACCGTACTTTATTGGACCAGCTGTGTCTAACAGGCACAGTCTTCCGAGGCGCAGTGTTGGCAAGAAGCAATAAAATGCATCGGCGTGTTTGCACTTACTCCGTCGACACACAGCTTGCGAGAGAATTGAACTCGCTTCACAAACATCCATGCAAAGGTGGTAAACACTTGCGATTGTCAACTGCAATCTTATTGGCTCGTCGTTGGGGACTCTTATGTCTTCGATTGAAGCATTTTCATATAATATGGAGGTAAATGAGCGATCCGGATACAAGTTTGTTGATAAATAATTATAATTATGCAGAAATATTTAAAATACGATGATACAAAATAAATGGTATCGTTTTATATATAAATAATGTTGAGTTATTGTTTGTACGTCGATGCCATAAGTTATAGTTAGTCAAATTGAGTGTAACGAGGGTCGCAAGTTGGCGACGGAGACGGCCGTAAATGTCACCGAACCCTTCGTGCAAAACAATAAGCCTCCGCTCTCGCTTTCGCGACCTTTGAGAGAAATTTTTAATTTTTGTAAAGGGCCAGGCGAGCGGTCTACTGGACGAGAGGCGTTCACACCTTTGCGCTGACGGCATATCATTAATACCGGAGGCATACGGTTCACGACGACATCGGAACGATGCCACCGTTTCATATTTTCGTTGGGATTTTCCAGGTTCCATTATCCACGTTTCTGAATCCTTTTGAATGGAAAGAGTAAAACGCGATAATACTAATGCTGCTGCAGCAGCTGGATCGAAGATCATTATTTGGACGGATGTTCCGCAGTGTAGTTAATGACGCCGTGCCGTCATTCTGTAATTACTCCTCTTTGTGCCTGCGACCGGCGAATGAATCTAGCTTTTCAATATTTTAATATCGTGCAAAAATATTTTCCCCAATATAATTGTATACATACGCGTAAGGCGTTATGAAAGCTCGTATTCTACGGTGCACTTTGTATCGGCAAAAAATTACAAAACAGAAAAATGTAACACGAAAACCATTAATAAAATATAATATACTAATATTTCAATCGGACACAACTTAATATGCAGTTTTTAAATGCATAAAGTAACTAAAGTGCAATTACTATTGAGGGTATGTTTTGGCTCCAAGTTGGCAAGAAAAAAGGTAAATCTGCAGTTTCGTTAAGACCATCTAAGTAGCTTTCGTATTTTCAAAAGCTCTTTCACGAATAAACTTCCGAGAGAATTCTTTCTTCGTTCCTTTTAAAACTCTTTTCAACAAAGATTCTGAATTAAATTAGTTATACTATATTAGTTAACAGCACTTGTTGAATATAGCTCAAACGGTAAGTGAAAATTCAATTAGTGAGACAGGTAGTAGAAGCCTCAAATTAATGTACCGCGACGCGATTCGGTTTGAAACATTGTTTCTCAAGTTTGACAATTTAAACAAGAAATGTCAGACGAACTTTTTGATTATTTAGTCCTGAAATTCTCCTCCTTCAGGAGTCTGTCGTATGGATCTGAGATTGAGGCATATAAGTACTTAGGACCGACGCTTATGTTCATACGCTCAAGTAATTACGATAGAAGTTTTGTTGTTCGGTCTTAGAGGATTTGTGGTAGACGTTAAGCTAGTGCAAACTTCACGGAATATTTTAGTTTAAAATGAGTGCAGGGTTTAGACCTTTTATCGAGTTAATTTAATGTTCATTTGTTTAAACTTCGACGACAACAATTTTAACGCCTCTTCCTTTAAATTGATCTTGAATTTGGTACCTATTTTTAAAATAAATCTCTTCACAAAATGAGTTAATATTGAAATCATTAAAGATAAAGAATTATTATAACGTAACGTGTAAATGTACATAATAATATGTAGGACCGAATTTTAAATCATTTGGAATGTTTAACAACATCTAGAAAGTATAAATGTAAGAACGGTTTTCCACTAAATTCTTAAAAACTACATAGAAAGTTATCGCGTCTTGCATTTACGATAAGGTTCGAGTTTCAGGAAATGTAATGCATCAGCAAAATAATGCAAAACACATGTTATCATACAATTTACCTTTTTCATGTTCCTTTAAAAAGAAGTGGCATTTTGCTTTTATGATCATAAACGAGAGACACGATGAAACAATAAACGTGCGGTTAGAACTAAAGGGATTCAAAGATGTCACGAAAAGACTTTGAGGACTTATAGCAGTCAAATGCCCACTAAAAGTAATCCTGCGTACACGAACGGCTGAAACAACTGATATTTGGGAAACGTTAAAACCGGCACTGAATAAAGCCCCTATCAGAGAGGAAATCCTGTACATTTGTTGGGAAACCTCCCTTATTCCTGTTTTCCCGCACTCCGTAGTCGTACGTGCTCGAAATAACGCCACGTAGATGCGTTCCCAAATTATTTATAGGCGCTGTTTTGTTTTTGCTGTGTTTTGTTAATTATTTCTTTCGTTCTTTTGTCGAGCTTATTCTGTTATGAACATAAAAGACAAAAAGCGAACTTATATTTTTTTGTATTCTTGGAATGTCGTTATTCTCAAATACATCTTTTTAACCTTTCGAAAGTTAGTTACATTGTTCTCAGGACTTCCGACATCAATTTACCTTTGGCTCAATTGAAAGTAAGTTCTCGGTACTGCCTGAAGGCTTAAAGATCTCGCTCGATATCCACTGTCAAATGCAACCGAATGATATAATATCTATTAAGGCAATAGACAAATAATTAAAAATATAAGGGAGATGTGATTTATGTTAAAAATAATTTTTTCGCCCACGCATATCATATAAAACGACATTTTATTTATCTCTACATTATATTTCTAGTTCACTCAATTGTACATAGGTATGTCTATATACAAGCAGAAGAGTGAAAGCATACACTTCCATGTCAGTAGCGAACAACTCCGATATTACCTTATTCGACTACCCGACACTTCCAAACACGTTGTGATAGAAAAATCTTGGATTATGTCTCTAAATTTCACTGGAAAGGTTAAAAAACTTAAGTATATTTAACTTGGTGAGAAGTATCAGACGTGAAAGACAATACATAATTAAATTACACTTGTCTTATACTATTTCAATGGTTGTAGGTAAACGTAATGACTTGTTTCAAATCATTTTCTAAATAAAACAAATGAAAACGATCGTCACACACAGTCAGGACCCAAGTCAATTATTTAAATAACACAATAACTGTTTAAAACGCGAAATCTATTAGTTAGACTTATTTGGATACTTTATTAACTACGGCTCGACGTTTCGGACGGTTTGCAACAGCCGCGTAAAGGCTTTATTTAAATGTGTACTACTCGCGTTGACTACAGAGTACAGACCGCATTTTAGTTAATTATTGATAGATAGAGCTATAGAAATTATATTACACTAAATGAACTGGCAAAGGAAGTTTCGTTGAGTGCAAGATTAATGTTATTATGTTGTACTCTAACAAATCATTAAAATGCATTTATTTCAAAAAAAATGATTACGATAAAATTAAAAGGTTAACGTCGGTTATCTTAATAGATAGAAATATACTGTTCCTGACATTTTATTAATAATTTAAAGAGTAATCCTTTCATACACACTGTTTACTTTTCTTCGCTCCTTTTGACCGCGGCGTGATGTTATATACCGAATCTAAAGCCTTTTTCGATAAATGGTCTATCAAAAACAATTTTTACAAAATTACAATTTTTTTCGCATCTAAACCAACATATCAACTCTTCAGCTCAATCTCAGCTCTTCGGCGACTATGTATCGAATGTACATAGAGAAAGAATACTCACGGAATCTATTTGTAATGGTATCGGCATTCAACACGTGGTTTACGGTCGGGAGCCGGTTTTGAGGCCTCATTTGTTTCCGTAATGCACGCGCCGATGGCACCCGGCGAAATGGCTACGCGATCCATTTTACGCAGTCATACGGGTGCGAAGGAAAAACCAATCGATAAGGGATTCAACGATGATTGAAAATAATTAAACCTTGAGAATTTGCGCTCGAGTGCCACAGTCGGATTTCACGTTTGAAACTGTTAAAAATACCGTATAAAAATATTACAAACCCGTTAAATATTAAGTTTTAGTATTAGTTATTACCATTGACATACTTGGTACGGTTATAGTGCGCCCTTTTTAGCGCCTGGTTTAGTTATTAATGTTTAACATTGGGGTGTACTCCCGAAAAGCGCACACCGCCGAGCGCCCCGGAATTTGGTTTTTTTTTGTTTTTTTCCCCCCCCCCCCCCCCCCCCCCCAAAAAAAGGGGGGGCCCCCCCCCTTTTTGAAAAGAAAAAAAAAAAAACCCCCCCCCCCCGGGGGGGGCCCCCCCCCCCCCCCCCCCCCCCCCCGGTATTTTTTTTTTTTTTCCGGGGGGGGGGGGGGGGGGGGGGGGGGGGGGGGTTTTTTTTTTTCTCCCCCTCCGCGGGGGGGGGGGGGGGGGGGGGGGGGGGGGGGGGCCCCCCCCCCCCCCCCCCCCCCCCCCCCCCGGGGGGGGGGGGGGGCCCCCCCCCCCCCCCCCCCGGGGGGGGGGGGGGGGGGGGGGGGGGGGGGGGGTTTTTTTTTTCCCCCCCCCCCCCCCCCCCCCCCCCCCCCCCCCCCCCCCCCCCCCCCCCCCCCCTCTTCCCCCCCCCCGGGCGCGGGGGGGGGGGGGGCGGGTGTTTTCTTTTTTTTTTTCCCCCCCCCCCCCCCCCCCCCCCCCCTCCTTTTTTTTTTTTTTTTTTTTTTTTTTTTTTTTTTTTTTTTTTTTTTTTTTTCTTCTCTTTCTCCTCTTTTCTTCTCCTTTTCTCTCTCTTCTCTCCTCCCCCCCCCCCCCCCCCCCCCCCCCCCCCCCTCTTCTTCTTCTTCTTCCCCCCCCCCCCCCCCCCCCCCCCCCCCCCCCCCCTCCTCCTCTTTTTTTTTTTTTTTTTTTTTTTCTTTTTTTTTTTTTTTTTTTTTTTTTTTTTTTTTTTTTTCTTCTTTTTTTTTTTTTTTTTTTTTTTTTTTTTTTTTTTTTTTTTTTTTCTTCTCTCCCCCCTCCTCCCCCCCCTCCCCCCCCCCCCCCCCCCCCCTTTTCCTAACATTGAAATATTGAATTGCGATTTTAATCCCACGGAGAAATAAAAATACTTTCGAAAGTAAAACTCTAAAACTAACGATCTGTTATATGGTTTTTAGGAAAACTGGATATTAAAAGAGCCCTTTGGCAGTGTTCCGCGGCGGAGGATGGATGGAGACTGACTGAATTAAAGTATTATATTATTGCTTGCAATAGCGATTCTGCTGACAATGCTTAGACGAATCGCTTACTCTTAAAAATCCTATCCTACTGTGGGGTATAACAGAACGATGAACCGGCGTTACGAATATTCTCGAGATAATGCAATGTTTGTGTTGACAAAGCTGCAATTACACGAATCATACATTGGATGGACTAGTTCCACTGTAATCACGCTATTGAGAGTGCTGGGCTTCGCAGCAGCAGAGCGACGATCACGTTTGCAGGCAATGGTAATCATTAATCAATGCGCGGGCTGATCCGACAGATGGCGCTGTTCAACTTCACACTAGTGATTCATGGCGTTTAATATACCTACAGGTTAGTTAAAAATTAACACGTGTAACAAACGACCGTTGACGCGAAGTTCTATTCCCAGTAATTCAGGTGACTGCTAATATTCTTAGAAGAAAGATTATTATGACGAATCATAGAACTGCGAGTTCGCGGATTTAGTTTAATCATAGGAATCGTGGTTGAATCATCTCACCCCCTTCGATAAATAATAGTAGGAATGTCTCAGTTTAGAG